TAGTAGTAGTAGTAGTACTAGTATCAACAGTAGTCGTAGTAAGCATAATAATAATATCAGTGGTCGTAGTGATGGTAGTAGTAGTAGTAGCCGTAGTAGTCTTAGGAGTAGTAGTAGTAGTAGTAGTCGTGGTGTAGTAGCAGCCGCAATGGCAAACCTAATAGCAGTAGTCGTACCAATTGTAGTGGTAGTAGTATTAGTAATAATAATGGTAGTAACCGTAGTCGCAGTAGTAGTAGTAGTAGTAGGAACAGTCGTAGTAACAGTAATAGTAGTAGTAGTAGCCGTAGTAGTAGAAGTAATGGACATAGTTGTAGTAGAGGTCGTAGTAGTAGCAGTGGAAATAGCGTAGTAGTAGTAGCAGTAGTAATCGTAGCAGTAGCAGTGGCAGTAGCAGTAGTAGTAGTAGTAGAAGTAGTAGTAGTGGTAGTAGTAGTAGTAGTAGTAGTAGTATTACTAGAAGTCGCAGTAGTAGTAGTAGTAGTAGTAGTAGTAGTAGTAGTAGTCGTAGTACCAGTAGAAATAGTAGTAGTAGTAGTAGTAGTAGTAGTGGTAGTGGTAGTAGTAGTAGTAGTAGTAGTAGTAGTAGTCGTAGTAGTAGTAGTAGTAGTAGTAGTAGTAATAGTAGTAGTAGTAGTAGTAGTAGTAGTAGTAGTAGTCGTAGTAGTAGTAGTAGTAGTAGTAGTAGTAGTAATAGTAGTAGTAGTACCAGGGGCAGTAGAAGTAAAAGTTGTTCCAGTAGTAGTCGTAGTAGTAGTAGTAGCAGTAGTATTAGTAGTAGTAGTCGTAGTAGTAGTAGTAGTAGTAGTAGTAGTAGTAGTAGTAGTAGTAGTAATGCTAGTCGTCGAAATAGTACTGGCAGAAGTAGTGATAGTAGTAGTCGTAGTAGTAGTAGTAGTGCTAGTAGTAGTAGCGGTAAAAGTAGTAGTAGCAGTAGTAGCAGTAGTAGTAGTAATAGTCGTAGTAGTTGTAGTAGTAGTAGTAGTAGTAATAATAAAAGTGGTAGTGGTAGTAGAGGTAGTCGTAGAAGTAGTAGTAGTTGTTGTTGATGTTGTCGTCGCCGTACTAGTAGTAGTAGTAGTAGCAGTAGTAGTAGTAGTAGTAGTAGCGGTGATAGTAGTAGTAGTAGTAGTAGTAGTAGTAGTAGTAGTGGTAGCAGTATGAGTATCAGTCGTAGTAGAAGTAGTAGGAGTAGTAGTAGTAGTAGCAATGGTAGTAGTAGCAGTAGTCGTAGTAGTAGTAGCAGTAGCAGCCTTAGTAGTAGTAGTAGTAGTAGTAGTAGTAGTAGTAGTAGAACTAATAATAGTAGTAGCGGTAGTAGTGGTATCAGTAGTAGTAGTAGTAGTAGTAATAATAGTAGTAGTAGTAGTGGTAGAAGTAGTAGAAGATGTAGTAGTAGTAGCAATAATAATAGTAGTAATAGTGGTAGTGGTAGTGGCAGTCGTAGTAGTAGTAGTAGTAGTAGTAGTAGTAGTAGTAGTAGTAGTAGTAGTTAGTAGTAGTAGTAGTAGTAGTAGTCGTAGTCGTAGTAGTATTATTATTAGTAGTAGTAGTAGTAGTAGTCGTAGTCAGGGGGGTAGTAGTAGTAGTAGTAGTAGTAGTAGTAGTAGCAGCAGGAGTAGTAGTAGTAGTAGTAGTAGTAGTCGTAGTCGTAGTAGTCGTATAAGTAGTAGAAGTAGTCGTAGTCGTACTAGTATGTGTTGTTGTTGTAGTAGTGGTAGTATTGGTATAATTATTATTATTAGTAGTAGTAGTAGTAGTAGTAGTAGTAGTAGTAGTAGTAGTATTAGTAGTAGTAACAGCAGTAGCCGTAGTAGTAGTAGTAGTAGTAGTAGTAGTAGTCGTAGTCGTAGTCGTAGTCGTAGTCGTAGTCGTAGTAGTAGTAGTAGTAGTAGTAGTAGTAGTAGTAGTAGTAGTAGTAGTAGTAGTAGTAGTAGTAGTAATCGTAATCGTAATAGTAGTAGTACTAATCGTAGTCGTAGTCGTAGTCGTAGTCGTAATCGTAGTAGTAGTAGTAGTAGTAGTAGTAGTAGTAGTAGTAGTAGTAGTAGTAGTAGTAGCAGCAGGAGCAAAAGGAGTAATAGTAGTAGCAGGCGTAATTACGCTACCGAGGAACCCCACATACTGATTGTATGTCTTGTGTGCCACGCCTGCTATGCCTGGACGACCCTGGCACGCATAGGGAACCACCCCCTGCACACCCCCTCTGGTGTCGAGAAAATGCCACGCCTGCTATGGTTGGACGACCCTGGCATGCATAGAGAGACCACCCCCTGCGCACCCCCTCTGGTGTCGAGCAAATGCCACGCCTGCTATGCCTGGACGACCCTGGCACGCATAGGGAGACCACCCTCTGCGCACCCCATGGTGTGTCGAGAAAATGCCACGCCTGCTATGCCTGAGCGACCCTGGCACGCATAGGGAGACCACCCCCTGCGCACCCCCTCTGGTGTCGAGAAACTGCCACGCCTGCTATGCTTGGACGACCCTGGCACGCACACGGAGACCACCCCCTGCGCACTCCCTCTGGTGTCGAGAAAATGCCAGCCTGCCGTGCCCTGCACCATGGCCCGCATAGACGCCGCGCTCAGGGACCACCCCCTGCGCACCCCCTCTGGTGTCGAGAAACTGCCACGCCTGCCGTGCCCTGCGCCATGGCTCGCATAGACGCCGCGCTCAGGGACCACACCCTTCGCACCCCCTGTGGTGTCGAGAAACTGCCACGCCTGCCGTGCCCTGCGCCATGGCCCGCAGAGGCGCCGCGCTCAGGGACCACCCCCTGCGCACCCCCTGTGGTGTCGAGAAACTGCCACGCCTGCCGTGCCCTGCGCCAGGGTCCGCAGAGGCGCCGCGCTCAGGGACCACCCCCTGCGCACCCCGTCTGGTGTCGAGAAACTGCCACGCCTGCCGTGCCCTGCGCCAGGGTCCGCGTAGACGCCGCGCTCAGGGACCACCCCCTGCGCACTCCCTCCGGTGTCTAGAAAATGCCACGCCTGCCGTGCCCTGCGCCATGGCCCGCATAGGCGCCGCGCTCAGGGACCACCCCCTGCGCACCCCCTGTGGTGCCGAGAAACTGCCACGCCTGCCGTGCCCTGCGCCATGGCCCGCATAGGCGCCGCGCTCAGGGGCCACCCCCTGCGCACCCCCTGTGGTGTCGAGAAGCTGCCACGCCATGACCCGCATAGACGCCGCGCTCAGGGACCACCCCCTGCGCACCCCCTGTGGTGGTGAGAAACTGCCACGCCTGCCGTGCCCTGCGCCAGGGCCCGCATAGACGCTGCGCTCAGGAACCACCCCCTGCGCACCCCCTCTGGTGTCGAGAATCTGCCACGCCTGCCGTGCCCTGCG